GATGTAAAGTTAGATTTTCTATTAAAAGAAACAACGAATAATTGATTAGTTATGTTTAGATGTAAAGTTAGATTTACTATTAAAAGAAACAACGAATAATTGATTAGTTGTGTATTCAACCCTTTTAAAAAGAATAGAGGCATTTCGATTTTAAGGTTAATTTTCTTTTAAGCACCCACGGGTGGCCTAGTGATCAATGAAACGAGTGAATCATAAGGTCTCAGGTTCAAATCCTAGTGGAGACAAAAAACACTAGGTGATTTCCTCCCTTCTGCCCAAGCTTTGGTGGACAGAATTACCCAGCACTTTTGCTGGTGGGAGGTAGAGGTAGCACGTACACCGGTGGAAAAGTCGAGGTGTGTGAAAGATGGCCCGAACACCACCGTCATAAAAGAAAGGATAATTTCCTCTAATACAACAACAACAACCTAGTATAATTCCACTAGTGGGGTCTGGGGAGGGTAGTGTGTATGCAGACCTTACCCCTACCCTGAGGTAGAGAGGCTGTTTCCGATAGATCCTCGACTCCCTCCTTCCAAGAACTCCCCACCTTGCTCTTGGGGTGACTCGAACTCACAACCTCTTGGTTGGAAGTGGAGGGTGCTCACCACTAGAGCAACCCACTCTTGTCTAATAGATACAAGGATACAAGGAATAATTGATTAGTTATGTATCCAATGAAATAAAATGGGGCATTCCGAGAATCGAACTCGGGACCTCTCGCACCCGAAGCGAGAATCATACCACTAGACCAAATACCCAGTTGTTTGTGAATGTCATTACTCATGATCAATATGTTATTCTCTGTGTCAGCAATAACTCGATCATAGTATATCATTCCTTGAATATAGAATCTTTAGACACCGTATTTTGATGTTTTATCTGCATTTGCATAGCCGAAGATTTCAAAGAATTCTGTTTACTCTTAATAGGATAGTGTTAATATATAAACAGAGAGAGTTCTTAACTCTTCTGCTTTTGCGGCCTTTCCTTTACTGTTCAATTTCTCTGATTCCTACAGAGCTATCAGCCTGGTATATTTATCAGAAATCCTTTCTTATCAACCCAAGTCCTTTGGATTTCTGAATTCCGAAATGTCGCAAAGAACTGTTATTGGTGATGAAATAAGATTTCTGGCATTAGATGATTTAATGCATCTTATTTTAGCCCCATAATTTGAGTTGAAGTCACTGCTTAAGTAGAACACGCTAATTTAGGAACTATAAAGAGGAAAACATTGGCTCTGCTTTTCTTTTTCTCTGATTTCTAGATTAGTTCAGATACCTTCTTGATTAAGGTCTGTTATTCTTGTTTGTCTTTTATTTTGCAGCTCCTTATAAGTAAGCTGGCTCACAAAATAACATCTGAGCTGTCACGCCAAACAGACAACATACCACTAGAGCAATCCTTGATTTTTGGTAACACTTTTCTGCCATAGATCGATAATTTCGGCCATTATTTTTTACCTCCATGATCCATAAAAATGAACCTGTTTATGAATCTCTGCTGAAGGACAAATATATTTGCTAACTGTCACTTAGTTTTGTCTACTTTCTCTAATTGAAACAAAGGCAAAACTGCAATATACATTTGCTGATTAACAATTCTCAGGCTTTGTTTACTCTCTTAAATTGAAAATGTAAAACTGTTTTATCTCAAGACTTTCACTTTTCATAGTTGAGATGCACCTTGTGTCAATCAATTCCTTTGTATCACTTAGGAGTTCTATGTGGATTTTGGACTTTCAGATCTGGTAAAGTGGTAGGTGAGCACAAATCAGCTGGCCTCACTGAATCATGTTTTATTTTTATATTTGTTCGTTCAGATCCAATGGATTTTAACTTAGTTGGTCTCTTCTAATTTATTTTTATTCTTTTAATTTTTTAGATTTTAGATCCATATGAGTTTACCTTGTGTTCTTTGATAGTGGGAGGAATCTCATCTTACATGGTGAGATATTAAAAATGAATTTGGCTGAAAAGTTAGTTGACTTACAATGAGAATGCATTCTGAATAGGAATTTTTGGCCTGTTTGGAAAGCCATCATGTAATTGGATTTGGGTGTAATTACACAGTTTTGGCATGTTTGTAATTGAGTGTAATTGAGGTGGTGTAATTACAGTCTCCAATTCTCAAGGGGGCTGAGAATTACATGGTGTAATTACAGGGTTATTTGTTTAATCTCTTTTCTTTGCTTTCTAATTTACTTTTTCTTTCTATTATTTTTTCTTTCTACTTTATTTTTATTTTAACTTTTCAAATTCTTTTTTTTACAAATATTATTCTTTTTATATTATTTATCTTTTATTTCCTTATTTCTCATTTCCCAACCTTTACTTCACGTGTTTCTACATGATTTCTTATATTTTATTCCTTTCTTAAATATTTTTTTTATTTTTTATATTACACTTAGCTATGTTATTAGTTTAATATTTTTTTAAAATTATACCTCATAATCTTAGATGAATAAGTCATCGACAAATTTGACTTATAATGAATGATGTCTTTAAAGTTGAACTTTGTTATTGGATGTGGTTATATGCAAATTTAACTATATTAAAATGATAGATTATTTTTTAATATATCAATATTATTTTCATTTTTCAACCTTTATATTTTATAATTCCATGTAGTTGCTCATTTTTTTTTTTCTTTTTTTTCTTCATTTAGCATAATTGTGTTATTATTCTAGTTTTGAAACTACACATCCTAATATTAGAAATAATGAGTCATTAATAAACTTGGCATATAATAAGTGATATCATAAAATAGAATATCACTGTTGAATGAGGTTATAGACTTATGTTTTCCTTTCTTTTGAATTATATTTACTTAAATTATGTTGAAACTTATTTTATGTTATGTTGTGAATTTACAATAGAGTATTATGTTAATTTTTTATTGGATTTTGAATTTATGTAATATTTTCGGTTTTATTTTATTTGGTTTAGTAGTATTGACTTATTAACTAAGATTGCATACCATTCATTTTTCAGTTGGAATTGATAGATTATTTTTTCGTAAGACAATTGAGTAATGTTATGGCATTATATTTATAAATATTAATATTTTTATCAAGCATACAGTCCATGATGTTCTTACATAATATGTACTTTTAGTTTTTATAATTAATTAAAGTAAAATATTATTAATTTGAAATAACATGTCAATTAATATATTTTCAAGAAATAATATATAACTTAAATGCCAGATTAAATATCAAGGCATATTTTGTTATAATTTTTAATTTTTCATAATTAAATTTATATTTAAAATTTAATATAACTGTGTAATTACACATGTGCAACCAAACAATACACTTATAATTACACTATAATTATATTATGACAAACAAACAGATCGTCGTAATTACAATACTGTGTAATTACTAGGCCATGTAAAATTCCAATTACCTGGCGGTTTTCCAGACATACCCTTAAAGAAGAATTAACTCTAGGTTGTCTGCATTGACAATTTGATTATATATATATATATATATANGTTTTCCTAAAATACCCTTATTATTTGTTGCTACCACATTAAATTTAAGGATTTTTTTGTCCATTCACCAAAATTCCACCCTTTCATCTCTCCATTTCCCACTCTGAAATTGTTCTGGCCGGAAACAAATATCACAGACCTCATTTTCCATCTCCAACCATGGTTCTTCCCAAATTCTGAATTTTTTCAATATTTTTTCTCTTTGCACCTTGACAAGTACTGTAATGAAAGTAAAAGTCTAGTCTTCTAATGTCTCTTCCTTCGTTGATCAGACTATGGTGTAGTCTTTTTGCCAATTTTCTTTTTTTACCAATCTGGGCGGTGCTTGCGACGAGTGTGACCCACCACCAGCGCCGATGCTGCTACTTTCGCTTCCCATCATTTCTACTTGTTTAATTACTAAAATCTGGTAACATGTCTGAACATGTATGGACATCAGGAAAATAAAACTTCAATATTTGGTTAAAAGGAAGAGGAAGAAATTGGAGGAATTTTGGTGAAATTCATGGATAATTTAGATTTTGATTACAAAATTGATCTTGAAAATAGAAGATGAAGCTCAAATTATCAAAGAACTGATCTCTGCAACTTAAGTGTGGATTTGTGTTTTAGGTTAATGGTGGAATTTTGATTGTTCTTGAAAATAGAAGATGAAGCTCAAATTATCAAAGAACTGATCTCTGCAACTTAAGTGTGGATTTGTTTTTTAGGCTAATGGTGGAATTTTGGTGAATGGACAAAAAAATCCTTAAGTTTAATATGCCGGCATTAAATAATAAGGGTATCTTAGGAAAACCAAATATGCATACATTGCTAACCTACTACAACCATGTAATAGGTTAGCAAAACCCATATATATATATATATATATATATATCAATTTGCAGGTAAAAGTTGCCTATTTTTTTGGTTATTTCATGAGCTGAAGAAATTTTGTCCAGTCTCACTGAGTTGTATATACATGACTCTAAGGTGTTCTATCCTACTAGCATAAATGCCTGATGAGCTTTCTGCAGGTAACAAAACATCAATCTCAAATGTGGATTGATTTTGGTAACAATAAAATACAAATCCTACCTTATCCTTAGAATACTTGTTGCTATCAGAATTTCAGGATTAAAAAGAGTACTCAAAAATTAGGGGGGCATTCCGAGAATCGAACTCGGGACCTCTCGCACCCAAAGCGAGAATCATACCACTAGACCAAATGCCCAGCTATTGATGATCCCTCGGTTACAATCTGAATGATAGCTGGAAGTTTCTCATTTTGTTGTCTAGAAGAATGACAATTTTTTTGTGAGAAATCATCAGAGATTATTATGCAAAGCCGAGTATACAAATTTACAGTAGTTACAAAGACATAACCAACAAATTGACCTACAAATTGCTAAAAAAACTTTTCATAAGTCAAGAAGGGAAGTGGAAATGAACTGCAAGAAGTGCAAAACCAGCCCATCTTACTTGCTCAAACCTGCCACATTTATACTTGTAGAAGTTTAATTCATTAAATAGGGCATTGAGTAGGTATTCTTTTAGATGCATACTGTGTTACCTTGTATCTGCACTGCTTCACAAGGGGAAGTCCTATGTAAAGTAAAATTTCTATTTAAAATAGAAGAAACGACAGAGGCTTTTTGATTTATCAGATCTTAGACTAATGTTCTTTAAATAAAATGGGGCATTCCGAGAATCGAACTCGGGACCTCTCGCACCCAAAGCGAGAATCATACCACTAGACCAAATGCCCAGCTGTTGATGGTGCCTCATTGACATTCTTAATGATAGTTGGAAGTTGCACGTTTTTGTATCCGGAAGAAATAACCATTTTCTTTTGAGGAATTATCACATGCTATTATTGAGAGCCGAGGATAGAAATTACAGTAGTTACAAAAGACATAAGTATAAATCTGAGCTACACAGTGCTAAAAACTACAAAGAGAACCTTTAATAAAGGTCATTAAACTGCCCAGCTCTGGTTGTGTAGTCGTTGCAGTTCATCTCTACTTCCTTTGACTTGGCACGAGTGAATTGATAAGTCGGTTCCTTCTTTGTGAATGCAGCTTGTATGAGAACTCTAGCTAGTTGTTTTTTCCTTTTTAAATGACCGTCCGTTAGTGATTGGTGATCATAGTAGAATGTCCTAAGACACCTCCTTTATAAGGGTGAGGTAGAAAGAAATAAATGTTTAAATGTGTTTTCAGTTTTAGTCAATATGGCACAAAATTAGTTGTACCTTTCTCATCTTTTCTATGAAGGTGCACTTAAAGAATTTAAAGTCAACTAAGAGTAAACCCATAAATTAATTTTAAAACCTCATTGCATTCTGATAATCAAGCTTGAATGCGGGTTTATTGATAATTGAGTTTTGATCAAGGTAACACAGTATGCGGGTTTAAGTTTGCATTCTGACATCTTTGAGTTTTGATCATTGGGCAGTTTCTGATCATAAACACCAGTGCTTTGCTGCAAAATAGAGATTCTAGATCTCTTATTTCTCACCAGTTTCATCTTCATTTGCTTGCTGTAATTTCTTTTGAACTTTTGCTGCCACGCATTACTATACTTTTTCAGGTTTGGCTGTTACTGGTGCACGATTCTTTGCAATTCTTTTGTCATTTTGGTCAACTGTATCTGAAACATGAAATCTGATATTTGATGAGAACTTCATCAGACACAATACCATGTCACTAGCTGCCTTAGAGTTTATTACACATAGTTTCGGAGTAACATATCAATAGTGAAATATAGGGTGTCTTTTCTTCTTTCAGGATCTCTCTGTCTTTTCTTCTTTTTTGGATCTTTTTTTCAACAGAGAAATACGCACTGTTTTAGTTTAGAAACTCGGGATGGTACTTGGTTTAGGAGCTAGATTTGTTGCACGTGACATGCTCCTACCACACTTTCCTCCAGTGTCCTCCTGCCTTTAGCTGTTGAACCAAAGCATTGGGGTATCTTATTTTCTAAAGTACCTTATTGATTAATCTAGCGCTTTATTCATCACTTTTATATTAACATCCTGCAGCTCATTTGGTTGTCTGAAAACATGATCTAATGAATTTCATGCTTTTTTGGGGTTTAACTGAATAGAGGGTGAGTCCTCAGCAACGGGAACCATTTTACTCCTGATTAGAGTGGAAAAAATTGGAGAGCTCTTGCCCCGAATAGACAAACATATCACCACATAAATGCTCCCTCTTTTGTTCTGGTGTAAACCTTTCTGCCACTAGTAAATGATATACTAGTTTCAGTTATCATTGTCGACTTCCTTGACCCCTATATGAACCTTTTAAGAGAACAATGATTTATCTTGTCGAATGAAAAACATTTTTACTACTTGGTCAAAATAATGGAATGCAATACTCCAGCAAGTCTATACTTCTGCTTATGATAGTGGGGATGCTTGCGTTAAATTTGGTTTACTTTCATATCTAGGCCCCTCCTGGAACTTCTACATGAATAATCAGATAATCTGGTTAGTGATAAATATGAGAGGTTGAGCAGAATTTGCAAATTATCTTTGGCATTTCCTTCCATCTGTATAAACCTTAGTTGACAACATTACCCACTAGTCGTGCTAGTGGGAGGAGATAGTCTGCATGTTTTCGCTGAAATAGTCGATGTATGCTCAAGCTGAACACCACTATTAATCTTAAAAAAGAAGAAGAAGAGACATGTGATCCTGCCATTTGGTTTTCTTAATTTGACAGGAAGAATCTTGGCCTGCAATATGTTGTAGTATTAATATATGACTGAGTGCTCATTTGACTAAAGATCGTAATAAAGTCTAGCATTCAGTACGGTACACTACGTATTTGACAGAGCAGAGTTAGGTCTTTGAACTATGCTAGATGTTGTCTGCGTAAAATATTCAATGAAGGAAATAAATTAAATTGTCTTCACGTGACTCTTTGAGCCCCAAGATGTACTGTATTACTGTTTGAATGGCAACACCATAAATACAATACGGCAATTTTCAGAACATCAATCTCAGTGTGGATTCTCTAGCAAAATAATTTAGTAACAAAAACCTAACGTATTTCTTGAACAGGCACATCCAAAGGTTGCCACCATAAATAAACGTTTCTTTATGAAATCCAAAGGTCACCACCATAATGAAACGTTCCCTCCCTTGCATTTTAATAATATAAAAGAAACTGACAAGTCACAGTTAACGTTGCCCTCTCTCTCCCATTCCCAATATTTGCCCTCTCTCTCTCTTCTCAAAGGTTTTGATGTTGGGTTATTTCCTTTATATGTTTTGGATTTTATGTTTTATTTTTTATTTTATTGAAAGGTGTTTGTGGATGAGTCGAATATGAAAACCAGTGTCAACATAATTAATGCCAAGTAATTCTGCTATTTCTTCCACAATTTTTTTTTTTTGCTGCAAAGAGGATCAACAAATTTAAGTTGAGAAAAAGGTAAAAAAAATTGTTATTATCTATCGTCAGACACAGAGACTAAGTCAGTGTATAAGCAACGGTGCAGGTACATTCACTGTCTAAGACTCCCAACTACATACATACGCCATTAGAAATTTCCTAAAAAAAAATATGTACATGTAGGTGTAGCAAGGGTTTTTACATCCTGAATCCGATAAACATACACTAACACGTGCAAACTTATGATTTGGCACTATGTTAAATATTTGTTGTAAATCTGTGTTAACTTCCAACTGAACAATGTTTTATTAGCAGAGAACCAATCAAAATTAGAACTCTACCATTAAGTTACACTTTAAAACAGGTATAAGCATAATAATTTCGTCTGCATCCTTCTCTTTCTCATAGGGAAGTGCTCAGTTTATATGTTTTAGAGAATTTGTTAGTGGCCTTGCTTAGTTTAAACATATAGTGTCTGCTCTCTCTTACTCTAAAGCTAATTTTCAAATCTTGCTATGGGACTTTTATCAATGAGTAATTTTTTCTATCTCAAAAATGTTTAATTTATAATAAGCATTTTGGAATATATAGGACACGAAGCTCTTTGAAGAATACAAAGTAGGGATGTTTTTCAGTAATGCACAAATCTTATCAGTTAATGTTTACTATTTTAAAAATATTTAGTTTCTTATTCTCTTTTTGGAACAGGACAAGAAACTCTTGAAACAATAGGGATTATTTCCAGCAATGCACAAATCTTTGAATTCTCTATATGGCAGCTCTTAATTGGACTGTGATTCTTTTTTGTTCGCGGTGTAAACAATGATGTCAACATGATACACTTGGTTATCATGTTGCATAGGATGATGATAGGTAAAAAATGATCGTAAATTGGACATGCTCGGGTTTGATTTTACTAGTCTATTAAAAGGAAAGTACAAGAAAGTGAAATATTTGCTCACTTTCTACATAAGCTTGGGAGATAATCTAAAGTTTTCTATGTACTGAGGATGAAATTGTGCATCTATGTTTGTGAAAATTGTGCTTACTCTAAACTATTCTTTGGTATTTGGGGTTTCAATCCTACATAGATATAAGTTTATACACAAAAAGACCAGAGTTCAAGTTGATGGTTTTAGGAAAAGTGATGTTGCACTTCTCTAAGCCCAAAAACTTCTTTTATATATTTTCTCAAATTTTTGATATTTTCTTCTTATCTTAAGTCAAAATCTGCAAGAAATTAACATCTTTTTTGAGGTGGTTTTTCCTTTTTTGATAATTAACATCCTTGAGTTTTGATCATTGGGCAGTTTCTGATCATAAACACTCATTAGTGTACTTTTTCAGGTTTGGCTATTACTGGTGCATGATTCTTTGCAATTCTTTTCTATCATTTTTCGGACAGAGAAACACGCTCCGTTACAGTTTAGAAATTCGGGATGATACTTGGTTTAAGTATCATACTTGGTTTAAGAGGTAGATTTCTGACGCGTGACATGCGCCTACCACACTCCCCCCTCGCCCTCCTCCTGTGTCCCCTGCCTTTGTTGTTGAACCAAAGCGTTGAGGTATCTTTATCACGGATCAACTTCTGTCGGAGCCGCAACGGCGCCTAACACTACTTATTAGCCAACAGCCACATGAAAACAACGAATTTGATAAAACAAAGTTTAATAACTTAACATCGAAAATATCATAAAATAGTTGAGAAAGTAACAACAATATTGCTACAACCATCCCAAAGATTTAGTGTCATCGAGCATAGGGGTGTTTGTCGGTCGGTTTTAGACATTTCGGTTCGGTATTTTCAGTATTCGGTTTCGTAAAATGCTATATCAATATCGTACCTAATTAAATTCGATATGGTTCGGTTTTTCTCCTTTTGGCTTCGGTTTATTCAGTTCGGTAACTTCGGTTTATTCGGTTTGAATACTAACTAGTGCATAGAATCATAGACAGTAATATTCTTAATTAAAGTACTCAAAAGTACAAAATTAAAAATGTTTGTCGACAAAAGTTTTGTCCAAAATCAGCAAATACCAACCTAGAGAGAGAAAACTTAGAGAAATGTCTTGTTACTTGCTTAGAGTTAATTGATGAACTTAGAGAATAAACGAAAGTAAAATTTTAGATATCTTATATTTATGTTATAATTAATAAAATATGTATTGTATAATATAATATATATTTTGGTACGTTATCGGTATTTCGGTATTTTATTTTAAAATACCAAATACCATACCTAATACCATTTTTTTTAAACTTAAACCAAATACCATACCGAATACCAAAATTTTCGATTTTGGTACGGTAATTCGGTATTTACCAAATTATGCACAGCCCTAATCGAGCACATGAGCATTAAAAAGTATCAAAATACAAGGCCAAATTCTCAATACAACTGTCTGAGTAGTAGAACAGTAATAATAGAAATAATGAAAGAGGACTTCAAGGTCTGCAGATGGTATAGCAGCGACCCCGTAGTCTCCCAAAAGCTGGTAGCAACAGAACTCTAGAGAATACCTCGTCCGGAAGTACCTGGATCTGCACACGAAATGCAGAGTGTAGTATGAGTAAAACTGACCCAATGTACTCAATAAGTAACAAAACTAACTGTGGACTGAAAGTAGTGACAAACTCAGAAACAACAGCCAGAGACCAATATTAATAACCAGTAACAGTTCAGACATAAAGAAATAGTAGAAGCAGGTAACTCAATGATACTATGTTCAGCTTGTTCACATTTCAAGAATTTAGGCATGCTTTCCAAGTATAACAGTTTAAGCCCAACACGGATAAGACACTTCATTTACCAGCTAGCATGAGAAAGGTACATCTTTATGCCTACATGTCAGGTATACATGTCAAAATCAACAATATCACTGTGAAACCATTAAGAATAACCACACATCAACACTTAGCACTATAGGGTTGCATGGTATAACTGTCCATCATCAAGCATGTATATAAAATATTGTGTCTGCGCCTATTGTTGGTATGCCGGACTCCAGAGGGGCGAATCCTACCTAAGAGCTAATCATAACCATATAGACCAATTGTGAGGCCTGGTGCACGCTTTGCCCAAATCAATAATACTTAGCTCGATATGAGCCTGGCATACACATCACCTCAATATCAATACCAAATCGGCTTTATGGCCCAAGCTCAGTCAACAATTGATCAAGTCTCAGTTAACCACATCTCACAATATTCAATTCACCAATGTTATACATATGAGGCATCAATCAACATGTGAGGAATCAAATACGAACGTACCAAGATAGATATATCAAACACGGATGTAGCATCATAACTGAGAACATGCGTACAAATAAGGCAAATATCTCAAAAATAACAAGAATAACCTTATATAGTCTCAAACAAATAACACATAGCCTAGACATAATTTTTAACATGAATCAGAACTCAAATGAACATATATGTTTAGAAAGACGGATATAACAAGGCATGATAGTCAATCAATCCCATAATAGTCTAAAAGCCACCTCAAATCATGAACACACCGGTATACGCACACATGCATGTCACTTAACGCGTACGTCACCTCGATAACTTTCATATGACGTAGTTCCCAAGGTTAATTTCCCTCAAATATAAGTTTAGATATGTTACTTACCTTAAAATACGCAAACCAATACTCGAAAAATCCCTTGCCACGCGAATCGGTATCCGAGCGACTCGAATCTAGCCAAAGCAACTTAATACCGTCAATAATAGCCATAGAAAATAATTCCAAACAATAAAGCTAAAGTCTTGAATCAAATATGCAAAGTCAACCCAAAAGGTCAACCTCGGGGTCGCACCCCAAAACCCGATAAAATTCATAAATTCCGATCACTCATTCAATTACGAGTCCAACCATGCTAATTTCATCTAATTCCATCCACAAATCGACCCTCAAATCACCAAATCTCACTCTCCAATACCCATGACCTAAAATCCTCAAATTTTACTTCAAATTCACA